CATCTCCACAGCAATGATTGAACAACTCACTGTTTGCCTTGGCACAATCCACACAGGAAGGCTTAACTGTGGGGAAACTAGTGCTATTGAGGCTGTATCTGGTCAACTATCCTTTCATGACTTCCCTCTCTATTCTTTAAACTATGCTCAAATCAACTGAACACAAAATCCTCGACAGCACTCCGCCATGCAGCTATGGCTCTCTTGCATCTCAATTGGCTGGTGCTGGCAAGCTAACTTCCTATATTGGTCTTGGCTGAAAAACTGCATTCATCCTTGGTATATTAGAGTCTTCAGCTATTTCGTATTTTTGCCAGAAGGCTGCACTGCTGCCCTTACTGTTGGAGTATAAAGATGTCACAGCGATTCTTCCACCTGGCTAAAACAGCACAGCTGCTTCGCACCACCATGTGAATTCACGTGGATTTCCAATCATCGCGTGGAGTACTCCACCGCTGGCTAATATCTAAGCGATGTTTTCAATCATCAACCATAGTATGACAGCGCGGTCATTGAGAACCCTGTCTCAAATGACTATTCACGAGGAACTCAGTCATGAGTCAAAATCAAACCCTTATCTAGGATCGGGTCGCGAATAGGGCTAAGAGCCGTGTATTGCAGAGAAAACAACAAATAGATATGAGTTTTGTTTTCTGTGCTGAACTGAAGAAAACCAGCGACTTACCCTTGCTTTTCAAATTGCACTAACTTGGCCGTCATGGGCCGAGAACTGACTGCCTTCCCGCGGTCCATAGGATTGAATGAGGGATGGCTTTCGAATCTGCACCGGAGACGACCGGCTTGAGTGAGGCTTGGATAATAGAGGTGCAATCGATCGATCGATTCGAATAATTAAAACAACTCACCTGTTGATGGTTGACGGCCGAGCTCGGAATTCTCTCCTGTTTACCATAGCAATTCAATGAGGGAGAGAAGTCAGCGCTGTACCTTCAATTAACACTCTTGATAATAGGCTTACCTCATTGCGATCGATTCGATCGTCAATCGATTCAACCACTAGGAGTACTCTTGTCGGCCAAGTTGGTATTTCTCTCCTGTTTACCATAGGAATTCAATGAGGGAGAGAAGTCAGTGCTGCGCCTTCAATAATGGACTTGCGACGTGAGAGGATAGATGGAGTACAGTACGAGTACCGGTACTGTTTAACTTTAACCTTAGTAACTTCAATGGTTCTTTTATCCACGAATCAATCTAAATCTTTCGAAAGGGAACTTGTTACTTAACGATACACATGACCGTTGATTCTGCAACTGAAGTGCCGGTACTCTAATTTACACAGTAAACGCGGGCGAATCGATTTTGGAGTGCAACTGAGGGGGAACCAAAAGGAGCGTGGTCTGGGAGACCAAACAAGTAGACGATGCATGTGACGTGGCGAAGATCTTTCCTGCTTCCGACAACCGAAGAAAATCTTTGCAGAGGTGCTTTTGATTAAACGCGAACGGCTGAGGAGCTGAAGTAGGCATCACTCGCAATCAAAGATAAAAAAATTCAGAGTAAAGGAGTACTACAGAGTAAAGGAGTAGTACACTGTTTCTATCCATCAATCATGACAACAACACCCACAAGCGAAGCTGTTTTCCTGTGGATCAGTGGTCAGAGTGGAGCAGGGAAAACGACACTTGGTACCAATTTGTCCGACCACTATGGTTTGGTGCATTTTGATGGAGACGTCTTCTACCAAGGTGTCGATCCCATTGCCGACGCAGGCGTCTACAAGCAACACACAGACCGACCAGAAGAACTCAAGCAAAAATGGTCGCTGGTGTCCGAGAACTTTGGGGCATTGTTTACGGGTGCACTGGTCCCAATAGAGGATTGGGCTGATTCCATGGAGTGTTTAGTCCAAGCGGTAGCCGAGGCCGTGTTGAAGCAACCAAATCCCATTCGATTCGCCGTCAGTTTTGCCGTTTACCCACGTTCGGTTCGCCAATGGATCGAAGAGCGACTGCTGTCCTTGACGGGGAAACAGATCCAATTTGTGGTCTTGTACGATGCCGAAAAAGCAGCACCCAGACGCAAACTGGAACAAACAAAAG